TAAAGCAGAGAGACGGTTTTCATTTTCATGTTTTGATAACAATAAAATTAAGTAATAACAACTTAATTAATTAATCGACAATGCCAAAAAATGAAGATATTCATGAACATGTAATATCAAATAAAAAAATGTGATAAAATATCAAGTTCGTGCTTGAATATTAAGATATTCATGAACAAATTTGGATGTGAATTGCGATGATGTTATCTAGGAGATTTACTTGACGTGAATGGTGGAGGACATTTGGTTAATATATGAGAATGGTGGCTGTGGATCATAGGAAGGTCGTGTGAAATGTCACTTGCATGTATGCTTCATTGTAAAAAACTTAGTCCAATGGCGGCCCTCTCCGGGCGTTCCCGGCGGTAGTGGGGGCGGCGGCAAGGGCTGCAAACTCTCTCGCGTGTTTCCCTCCTCCTATTTTTTATTATTATTATAAAGTTAGCTTATTTTTATATTTTTCTTTTCTTTTCTTTTTCTTCTTCCTCCCTCCGCCGGTCGCTGGCCTCGATGACAACCGGCGACCGGCCACAAGTGCGGGCTGGCAAGCTCGAGTCTCAGCAGGATCTGGCAAGGTCAAGCTCGCCCAAGGATGGCAAGCACGAGCTCGCTTCTCAACCTCGACCTTGCCTCGAGCTTGGTTGAGGTCGACGAGGTTGGAGCTCGCTCGAGGCTTGCCAGATCCTGGAAAGCGCCTGTGGCCGTCGCTGGCCGGTGACGGTGGAGGAAGGAAGAAAAAGAAAAGGAAAGAAAAGAAAAAATAAAAAAAGAAAATGAATTAAAAATTCATTTTTTAAGAAAGATAATAAAAAATAAAAAGGAAAAAATAAAATAATTAAAAATTCTAATTTTTTTAAAAATAAAAAAATTAAAAATTAAAAATTTTGATTTTTTTTTTACCAAGATGAAATCATGAAATCGAAATCATTTTCCAATGTGATCAAAACATCAAAAAAAATTTTGACTATATATCACCAAATAAAGAAAAGCTAATCGTATTCTTGGAAAAAGTTGAGTTTTTCGCAAAAAAAAATGCACCCTAAAATGAATCCTCTGAAACGGGTAACGTTTCTCGAGAATGGTCCACAAAAGTCACTATTCTCTGAAACGGGCAACATTTTTTTTTTCTCAAATTGCGCTTCTTGAACAACAGTTCTGTTCTCTGAGATTCCTGCATTTAGTTGATAGTTCATCTGCATAGGCGGCCACGCGAATGCTCGGTTTGTATATTTGATAATATGGCCGAAGATGATTTTTTTTCCCACCCTTTATGTCTTGCATTTGCATGGTTCCTTGATTTGCGCTATTATATGATTTGAGCAGAATGAAGATTTGCTTTGTGTTGAATAGTTCAGTGGGGGTACGAATTTTACTTACTCTTGCTAAATAGTATTATTCTCGGTAATTTTTACTTACTCTTGCTAAATAGTACGATTTTTTTTTTGATTGAAGGCTTCGTCTCTTGCTTTATAAAGACAATCGGTGATTCCCTAAATTCTGGGGATAATTACCAAAAAAAAAGAAGACATAAATCTATTGCATTGACGCCAATTCAATTCTAAGCTTTTTAATTTGATCAATTCAACATTTTGATGATTTGCCAATCTAGTTTTTCCGGCCAATTTCGGCTTAAAATCGCCCATGCAGCGGTCCAGTTAGCGCCGGCCATCTTACGCGGCACGACCGGCACTGACATGTTGCATTTTTTTCTCTCTTTTTCCCTTCTTCCTCCCCCGGTCATAAGTGAGAGCTGCGATGCCCGGGCTAGATATATTTAGCACCCCACTGCAATGATTAAGATGAATAGAGCAGCCGGATCCCGACCAACCCCAATCATAATCATTGTCTCGCCCCGGACACCATGACATAAAAATGCGGGTCTTAAAAAGAAAGGAACATTTGGAACCGGAAGGACTCGATTAGCCGTCATTCTTGAAGTCGCAAAACCATTGTGACCCTTCCCTTATGATAAGTGTTATTAATGTATGACAGGATTCAATGCAAACAAAAACAAATGCATTTCAATGAAGATTTTGCTGTTCGTATTACATTAATACTTAAATTTGATTGATCAATGTTGGTTTTTATACTGTTGTTTTTATATGAATCCACATTTAGGAAAAACTAATTCAAAATCGTTTATTTGGGTAATTGAAAAACCATATAAGATTGAGAGTTCTTATTAATCATCTCTTTGCAATAGAAAATTGGGTTAATATCACGAAAAACCCTAAACTGGTACACTTGAGACACATTTACCCCTAACTATTTTTTTGACCATAAAAAACCCCAAACTGGTACACCTGTGACAATTTTACCCCAAACATACCAAAAAAAACCCTAAACTGGTACACATGTGACAATTTTACCCCGAACTAATTTTTAATATTATTTTTTTGAATTTTTTCTTTTTTCTTTTCTTTTCTTTTCTTTTTTTTTTCCTTTACCTTCAACTTGTGGCCGGTCGCCGTCCGGCGACCGCGAGGCGGAAGCAGCCGAGGGCCGCCCTCGCCGGCGTCGGCGGCCCCTCGCCCGACGCGGATCCGGGCGAGGGCGACCCTCATCTCGCGTCGGGCGAGGGCGCCCTTGCCCTAGGCGGCGAGGACGGCCCTCGCCCGACGCGGCGAGGGTCGCCCTCGCCAGATCCGCGTCCCGGGCGAGGACCGCCCTCGCTCGAGTCGGGCGAGGGTCGCCCTTGCTCCCTGGCGGGCGAGGACGGCCCTCGCCCCGACGCCGGTGATGGCGGCCCTCGCCGGCTTCCGCCTCTGGCCGGTCGCCGATCCGGCGACCGGCCAGGGTTTGAAGATGAAAAAAAAAAGAAAAGAAAGAATAAAAAATAAATAAAAATTCGAAAAAAATAAAAAAAAATATTAAAATTTTAATTCAGAGTAAAATTGTCACATATGTACCAGTTTGGGGTTTTTTGTGATAAGTTCAGGGTAAAATTGTCACAGGTGTACCAGTTTGGGGTTTTTGGTGGTCAAAAAAATAGTTTAGGGTAAAATTGTCACAGGTGTACCAGTTTGAGGTTTTTTATGGTAAAAAAAATAGTTTGGGGTAAATGTGTCACAAATGTACCAGTTTAGGGTTTTTCGTGGTATTAACCCTAGAAAATTTATGCAAAGCGTGGATTGGAAAACTAGCGAGTTTCCATAATCGGAATACTTTTACCCGAGCACAATACATATCGCATTCCAAACATTACGAAGAAAAACCTTATGAAGTATCAGAGGAAGCGACCACAAATCGCTTTGACATCATTAATTTGATGGATCAGAGCCATATTAATTTGTCTCTAATATTCCCGGGATCTATCAATAGATAACTATAACACGCGTTCGTTCGTTGTTATAACTTATGGTTACGTGTGATTAGATGCGATTAAATGAATTTTCTGTCGCTCGTTCAGAGTCACACATAGATGATAATCGACATCCGAGCACATCACCAATCGATTAGAGATCCAGCTCCAAGGATTTAGCTTAAAGTTGCGTGCAAAGAAACAACTCATTTATCTATTGGGTTAATACTATGAAAAAGACCAAACTGGTACACCTTTGATAAATTTGTCCTCCGTTAGTTGCCGTTAAATTTTACCGTCAAATTGCCGAGTTGGATGACACGTGATAGTTGAGGGGTGTCAGTTTGGGGTTTTACCCTCCACGCCGGTTTGTGGTTTCTGGTGGCATAGCCCAATTTAACGGAAATTAACGGAGGGTAAATTTATCACAAGTATACCGGTTTGGGATTTTTGGTGGTCAAAAAATTAGTTCGGGGTAAATTGATCACCGGTGCACCGGTTTTGGGTTTTTGGTGATAAAAAATTAGTTCGGGGTAAATTCGTCACATGTACTAATTTGAAATTTTTCGTGGTGTTAACCCTTTATCCATGAGGCAAAAGGCGGGAAAAAAGCAAACAAAAAAAAAATTACAAATTACAAACAGCTTCACACGCTTAAGGGGGCAAATTGCTAAAATCGGAGATAAAAAAAAAAAACAAAAACAAAATCCAAAAAACGGTGGCGTTTGCCGCAAACGTAACGGTCATATCTCCCGCCCGCTTCCCGCCTCTCTCCTCCTCCTCCTCCTGTTAATTTGGACTTTTATTTTGCTTATGCGTCGTGCAAAGTGTACTCAGCCCTTCAAGAACCCAAGAACTGCAGGCACTCCGGTCATTTTTGGCGCACATCTCTAAGTGGTTCCTCCTCTTCCTCCTCCTCCTTCTTCTTCTTCTTCTTCTTCCTCCATATAATTCTTTCGTATATTTAGACTGCAGATGAGCGAACGTGAAAAGAGAAGCATGGCATTGGATTCTAGTCCTGTCTCGGATACTCCAAGATCCCCCAAAAGTGGCCATTCCAAGAGGAAGCCACCCGATTCATTTGATGGGTAAGCTCTTCTTTTCCCTCTGTTTTGCTGATGGTAATCGTATACATCCCGCGAAATGTGTTTTGCGCTTTGACGTGTGCCGATGATTTTACGTCCAAATTCTTTCCTTCTATTTTGGCTGCAGTGAGACGTCAAGAGGAAGTGATGACTTGCCCTGCAAGACGGAAGAGAAAATACGCAGAGTGGTAAGATGAGTAGTGATGCTAAAGCTCTGTTTTTTATCCGTACTGTTGAAGCCTCCCACTCAAATTCTTTTGGTTATTTTATTGCTTTTGATTATGACATAAAAGGAGAGAAGAATATGCAATTGTGTTGGAAAAGAGATGGTGACATATACATAGGTAGAAACAGAGAGGGGGAGAAGATATAGATAAAAACAGATAAGGAGGTGTGACAATGTACCGGCAAATGCGGGATATTTGATTCGCAGAAGGTGCCGATTTTGAAGAATCTTTGCTATCATTTTGGAAAAGGCACTGTATCTGCTCTAGTCCTGTGATGAAATAGATAATTTATCCTGGACATGTCGCAGCATTGACTGATGCACCCCCATTCTTTTTGCTTGGAAACGAAATGTCATTAGAATCACATGTGACCATCCAAGTTTAGAACTATACCAGTTAATGCTTGTTAATTCTTAACTTGTCCTTTGTCAATCAACTTTGCATCTTTACCCTGAGGACCCTTGCCTTGATTGTACTCTCCATTACATCGTTCAAGCACCTGACCTTTATGTGGTGGAGAAATGGGGGTCGATAGGCGTAAAGTGAATTGAGGTTCTTTCAATGTTTTTTCTGTTCTTCTTTCTCTAGGCTGCACTTACGTACTTACTTTGAATACAAGTTCATCCATTGGAAGGCAACATTACTTGCCGAAAAAATAAATTGTAGCTTGAAGTCAGAGCGTGTATCTTCAATAGTGGAGATAAATACTTCCATCAATCCAGCTCGAGTGATATACTGAGTGTTTTTCTTCCAGGAACATGGAGATACAATCGTGAATACCTTTGTTAACTGGAATGATGAGACTGGTTCAATGCAGAAGAAAAGCTCAAGCTCTTTTCCATCTCAAGTCTCTGAAGGACAAATTGAAGATCTCACCCCTGTTCGACATAATTTGGCTCCAGGAACCTGTCCTGCTCCAGTTGGTCCGCAAGCTCCTCCGGCAAATGCGGGCTCCACTGCTGAAGGTACGTGCTCCAAAACACAAAACTATCTTTCCCATAAGCACATACAAAGACGCGGCCTATGAAATAATGATGAAAATGCGACTTTCCACTTAATTGTTGAGCTTTTTAATAAATAAAAGCAATGTGTTTCGGATCCTTATGATTTGGTTTGTGAATTATATGAAGACGTTTATTTGTCCAGCTACCCTATCAATTGAACTTGCATATGAAAATAGTGAGAGATAGTTTTTACTGATGAACAAACAAGAAGAGTAGGTTACTGCAGGCCACTACCAAAAGCAACAATCTAATAGATTCAGCACAAAGGCAAAAGGGCAATAATCAAGTACTTACATTTGATCAGGGTTCAGTTTAAGAGATGCAACTTCAATTTGGACACGAATGATTAGAGTTGAATTATCAAAATGACCGATCAGGACACACAATGTTGAGAACATTCTATATCCAAATGCTAATTATACTCGAAAAGATATATCCTGTAAGCTGTGATCGTTGCAAAATGAGCCTCATCCAATACACTCTATCCATGTATGTATGTATGTATGTATGTATGTATGTATGTATGAATGTGTGTGTGTGTGTTCAGTCCAAACAGTTAAAATGCAACTGAAAAATTAGTTGGTAACACGTGCCTTTTTGAGTGGGGGACTGGGGGAGGGCAGATACTCACGAACACCTTCACTTAGGTGATGATGCTAAGTGGATGTTGACAAGATATTGCTATCACTAGGTAGATATGACTAGATGGAATAAGCACATAGCAACGAGCTTATATGTTCATTTTTATGAAATGTTGACGGGATGATCATACTAGGAAAGAAGGTTGGTCGGTCAAACTTATATGTCAGATATCACAAAACTGAGATTGAAGCACCTAAAAGATTACAAAGACCAGTGGAAGAAAAATTAGAGAGATGTGCAGAGCGAGGGAAAAAAAAATTAATGGCACTTTCCGTGATATCAGAATAGTGAAAGCTCATAACCATCCATTCCAAAAAATTTTATAAGATCGTACATCTGTGCCCACGTCGGTCTATATTTACTAACCATGTTGCTGTTCTAGTTCTTTCTCCAGGACATAATGGTGTTACTTTGGCATTGCCAGTGCAGTCGCAAGTTGCCAATTTTGGAAATGCCTTGGAGTACTCAGTTGATCACACTTTTCATCCCGCTGGACATCAGCCCATATCTACAGACGGTTCTGAAGTTCTATTTTCTCCCGGAGATAAGAGAAATGCTAATGTCGAACTGCCAATACTGCCCCACGACATCTATCCACAATGTGCCTTGCCTAGCCAAATGATCGGTTCTTCGAGCCAATTGGTCGATGGCAATGTTCCCTTCTCTGAGCCACCCCACGCCACAATACCAAGCTTCCAATCTAGCAGTGCATTTCCTCCTCTTGAAGGCGATCGCGTGATGGCAGGAATCCAACCAACCGCTTCAGATGATGATGATTGGTGGGCTGATATCTTCACGACAGATGATACCCCACCAGATGCTGACACGTTCTTTCAGACCCCACCAGATGATGCCGTGTAAACTTTTAAGACCAGGGAAGTTGCTGCCTATTCGCGTATAAGCTGTTTGAAGATCATTCATCTGTCAGCTCGCGGCACTAGAGACGTTGTGGAAGACGTCTTCTCGGTGCGCATGCCCCAAATTTTTTTTTACTTTCGGAATTAGCTCGAGGGATACTAGAATCAGTGCTGTCTGATTGGAGAGTCTCCCCCCACATCATTTCAAAGTGTGCCGTGAATGTTCTTTCAGACCTTCTTCAGTATTCAGCCAAAGGTGTTTTTTGTGTGCCAGACTCGAATTATCTTCAATCTTGTATTGTCGGTCCTCGAAATTTTTTAGCTGTAGTTTCTCCGAAACGATGTAAAACGGCTCACGGGTAGTTTGATTCGACTTAATATGGGGTTTGCACTGGAATTCACTCCTTCTACTATAGGACTGAGTATCTAAATTTTTTAATTTTGGCGTGCCATTCCACAGTTGCTTTATTTCCTGAACCTATTTAAAGTTCGCTTTCAAGCATCATCATTTTCCACATACTATCAAATAAACCCAAAAGGAAGTAGTGTTTGCCTTCCACTGTACAGGGAACAATCGTACTTTGCATGCAGTCTTTAAAATGATCATTTCATGGCAATACAAGAAAATTGATCTTCCTATTCATCACCTGCACTCCGCATGGAGTATTCTCTTTTAACTGTATGCAGTATCTACTTGTGATTACTTCAGTCAAGACAGATTTGAGAAAATTTACACGAGCTCAATTTGACCTCTGAAAATGGTCGTGATTGTTTTTGGCCAAATGAAAGTTAACTAGTCCTAGTCCGTATTTGCGGTATCTAATCTAATACTGTAATAGTAAGAGACCATTGAAGTGACATGTGGCCTTCTCCTAAGTCAGCACCAACCCACTTTCTTTTCAAAGTTTTCTAAAATAAACGCCACGCATCCAGATATTTTCTTCCTACGTTGACACCTATCCACTTCCTTTTTGGGAGTTTTCTCTCTCTCTTGAGAAAAATCCACAAAAAAATCTTAAACTATGCCTACTTTGATATATTTATCCTGAATTTTTTTTGTAACATTAAAAATCTAAAATTACGCCTACTGTGGCACATTTACGCTAAAAATTTTCTTGTGACATAAAAAACCCCAAACTTGTACCAATATAACATATTTACCCTTCGCCAAAATTCCGTTAGATGATTTTTCAGTTAAAACAGCATTGTTTTTATTTCACTTTAGCTACGTGGGTGCCATGTCGACACTGTTTGTCGTCGGACGTTCATGTATGCATATTTTTAATGGTTTTCATTGATGGAGGGCAAATGTGTCACACTGGTACAAGTTTAGAATTTTTTGTGCCATGTGCCAAAGCGGGAATAGTTTATAATTTTTGGTGGCTTTTGTCTCTCTCTTTTCACGCCATGTCCAACTCTCATAGGTTTTTCACAATTTTATTTTCTTTTCAAGAATTGCAACAAGAAGCATTGTCCTTTCCCTTTTCCCAAGATTACGTTTTTTATTCTTTATATTCTATTTTAACATACACGGATTTATATTAAAGATACTGTCAACATGCTCACAAAAGATTGTAGAAATAAAGGAAATCGTTAAATCTCTAATAATGATTTAAAAGAGTTAAATTCGAGGGAAAAATCATAAAAACAGGAAGTAAAAAGAGATAGTATCTGATTGAGTCCATGGGTGGACAGTCGGGGGCATTTATGGACAAGCGCCGCCTAGCGAGCAGAAGCCATTAGGCCAGCTGCTAAACTTACGTGATAATGGCACACTGGCATTCGTTTAGAGCTCCCAAGGTCATACATTTGTGCAATTTCGATAATTACTCAGTGTTTGTGCGCAAAGCTTTAAATTAGAATTCGGTGATTGATTTCTGAAAAGAAAATGTAGAAGAATGACGTACGAGCTAGGCATGGGAATGACTCGAATAAATTTCAGGGGGCTGGATTGATCAAACTAACTAGAAATATTAAAGAAGCATGAAAGGCCCAGCGTTACAGAAGGTCACGAGGCCCAACAAAGGCTTGTGGCAAGCAAAAAGCCGACACTAAATGGGAAGAGGGGAGTATTACCCCCAAAAAAAAAAAAAAAAGAGAGTCCTCAACCTATTGTGTTTGTTCCAATTCAATCATAAACCTTTTAGTTGTACCAATTGAGTTATCCACATTTTCGCGTTTTGTCAATCGAGTCAATCCTGTTAATTTTGGACGCAAATCGTTGACGTGAACATTGACCTCCCTTCCCTCGCCCGTGAAAGGCGAGGGCCGTGAAGCGGCCGGCGAGGTTCGTCGACCCTTGCCTAGTGTCGGACGAGGGCCTGGCGACCCTCGCTGGCCACAGTAAAAAAAAAAAAGAGGGAAAAGAGAAGAAAAGAAAAAAAGAAAGAGAAAAGAAATAAAAATTCGAATAAAAATATGAAAACATTATTAAAAATTGTCTAAGTTAGCGTCAATAGCCGCGCCATGTAAGACGGCAGGCGTCCACATTAACGAATTCCAAATGAACTCAATTGGCAAAACGTGAAAATGCTTAAGATTCAATTGGCACGATTAAGAGGTTTAGGATTGAATTGATAAAAATGTAATAGGTTTGAGACTTTTTTCATGGGAAGAGTGAACTTGATTGAAGCGAAGCATGGCCTCTTGGGTTGACTTGATTGACCCGAGGAAGTTGACCCGAAGAAGTGGAAGCCAAACTCTCTTTTTCATCTGACATGATTTTTCCTTTTGGTTGTGGAGCTTCGAGTATCTTACTTTGATATTATTAGGACTGCCTCATAATAATTTCAATGTATATTCTTATTTATCGTAGGAGTTATTTCGGTAATTCCTCTCTCTCGCCAATGGCAGACCCTCTAGAGAATCCAATCAATTTGCTCAAATTGTTGTTCAACCACCGACTGAGGTCCACATCGTCTTTCTCGTTATCGCTAGGGGTGAATATGGTTCAGATGGACGATTTCCACCATGGAATCGGGAACCGCCCACTAAAGACCGGTTCCAAAAATTTGGGATCGAGAACCCTCCGTTGGTTCCATGGATCCACTCAGGGTGGTCCGGTCCTGTTCTCGGGTGGGTCCATAGAACCGATCCCATAAAGTTTCACGCAAATAGAGGTGATCAAAAGCGAGAGAAGGAAGTGATAAACGGTAAGAGGCGCAGCCATGAATTGATAGGAGTCGAGAGTCGATGCCGCGAGTGGATGGGCGTTGAGCTTGAGAGTTGAGACCATGAGTAAGAGATAGAGAGACGATTCAAACAAGGTGAGAGTGAAACGAGACAAGCACTCACTTGATAAGCTTTGAGTTTTAGATTAAGGATTTTAAGGTTTTCATTTTTCTTAAATTTTTTTCTTTTATTTTGATTGGAAATATATATATATTTCAGGTTCGGTCCGGGTGAGCAGGTGGGCGGTTCCATGCCTAGAACCGAGAACTGGATCGGTACTCAATGATTCTAGTAAATTTGAATTAGGAACCGGACCGGTCTTCATGGGAACTGCCGTTTTCGGTTCCGGTTTCGGGCTGGTCCGATCCGGTTCCAGGCGATTTCCGATTCTTTTGCATACCGTTAGTGGTCACCACCTTATCAAAAACCATACTAATCATCTGGATTGCAGTCAAGTGACGTGTGCCATAAAACATTTCTTACGATAACTTCCATTCACGTGCAATGCATGTGCACCGCACATGTAATCATTACTATTATCAAAAGAAATTGAGATAAATTGCTAATTTTGTGAGGTAGCTTATTTACATGAATACCCATGCGCATTTGAGCTTCTTAAACATACTGTCCAACATAAATCCTCCAACTACAATGAAGCATGCATGCAAGTAACATTTCCCAGAACCTTCCTGTGATCCACAGCCACCACTTCTCATGTACTCTTCAAGTAAATCTCCTAAACGCCGTGGCAGTTCACATCCAAGTTCATTCGAGGAGTAACTTTAGTTCACATTTTTATTTATCGTAGGAGTAATTTGAGTAATTCCTCGCGCTCTCTGCTTCTCTCTATTGAAGTACAATAATGGCTTTGTTTGTTTCGCGAAAAATAAGTGATTTGGAAAATATTTTCTTGAAAACGATCACTTATATCATGTAATATTTTCATTATTACTAATAATTCATGTCCAAATATTTTTGTGGACGATGAAATTTTTTTCGTTCATTCATTTTTGTAAGAGATATAAGTGATTATTTTTAGGAAAATATTTTTCAAATTATTCATTTTCTGCGAAACAAACGGAGCCAAAGAGTGGATTTTGCATGACCAGGTTGGCCGTTTCATTCATCTAACCACCCTCCGGACATCCTTCTCTGTCAAAGAGCTCCCGGCACAAGATTCCTTTCGAACCTGTTCCATCCTTGACCGTGTGAATATCAGCACGAACATACAAGCCAGATAGAATAATTTGTCAAACAGGACAGTAAATTAACCTGGCAACGATAGCAGCTCACTTGCTTAGGTAAAAAAATTCTAGTAGAGTCCAATTCGAATAAGGAGGAAGTACTACGATTGGCCGACACAAATTCGCCTAAAAAGATTCGAGACGACAACATTTGAGGTCTTTTATACTTCACATTGAAGCCACAACATCAACCCACAAACAAAAAACTGAACGAAAGCGATTTAGAAGAGTCATCCGGCAAAAGCTAATCAGTGTAATATTTCTCAGTTCAAGAATCTTCAACTCAAGAACTCTACATTGAACTTCCCTCAAGTAATGCTAAAACTAAAACGATCATCAAACAATTAAACAAGCATTGAAACTTTGAATGGGAAGAGTAAACCTACTTGATTGGAGCGAAGCATGGCCTCTTGGGTTGATTTGAAGTGAAAGCCAAAGCTCTCTTTTGCATCTGACGTGATCCTTCTTTTTGGTTGTGAAGCTTAAAGTGTGATTTTTTTTGGGGAATTACCAAAAATGTTTTAAACATATCGAACGGATTTCTAGCACATTTGAGTTCAACTTTTAATCCCAAGTTTTGGTAACAATGGAAGTAAGTAATAACAACTTAATTAATCGATAATGCCAAAAAAAAATGAAGATATTCATGAACATGTAATATTAAATGAAAAAGGCAATATAATATTAAGATCGTGCTCGTGGATGACTTAAGAGTGAGGCATGGGACGAATCATGTAATTTTGTTGTGCCCATAACGCCCCACCCCTTAATCCATAGACAAAGAACCACCATTCTCGCCTATCGTGCTGGTGGGCTGACGGTTCCCCTCCTAAAAAGTAATAACTCGTAAATCATTAATTTGGTTAAAAGAGATGTTAGAATATATTAATAGAGGTCCGGTCTCTACTATTCAATATATTTGCTTCAAACCGACCGGATTTTCTAGTTCGAACGGTTTCTTTAACGCCGTGACCACCCGAGATGACTTTCGAGGCATTTTGGAGAGGTTGTGTAATGATCCAGTCTAACGAGGGTGGGAAATGGTTGGTAGGGCTAGAGGGCCAAGATAAGGGGCGGTTTTAACGGAGAAACTTGATTGCACAGATTTAATAAGTTTAAGAACTTAGTTGTACTTATATAAGTTTTAGGATGATTTAATTGCAATTTTATGACAAGTTTAGAACTTTTAGTGTATTTATCCTTATTTTTATCAGGCAAAAGGCAGAAAAAAGAAAGCAAAAAACAATGCACGTGCAGCTTCACACACTTGAGGGGCCAAATTGCTAAAATCAGCGACAAGAAAGGGAACGAATTATAGAAACTGGCAACGTTTTCCGCAAACGTACATGAAGTTTCTCGGAAAGTTATGTGCCTGCTCCTTCTTCAGACATTATAGAAACCGGATACGTTTCCCGCAAACAGACATGAAGTTCCTAGGAAAGTAATGTGCCTGCTCCTTCTTCAGACGTGCCTCCTCTCCTCCTTTTATTTGCTTATGCGTAGTGCAAATTAGGGGACTGCAGGTGCGCTTAGCCCTTCAAGAACCAAAAAACTGTATGTAATCCCTTCAGTTTTGGCCAAGGCACCCCTTAAGTTGAACCATCGCACTTCTTCTTCTTTCGTAAACTCTTCTTCTTTCATATATTAAGTTGCTGCTCGAGTGAACGGGACAAAACAAGCATGGTGCTGAAATTCCCACCTCCCTCGTGTACTCCAACATCCCGCAAGACAGGCCATTCTAAGAGGAAGCGGTTGGATCCATTTGATGGGTAATCTCTTCGTTTTCCCTCTGTTTTTGCTGCCGGAATTTGGATTTCCATGGTTTGTACGCATCCCGTCTTTGGTTTTTTCTTGGTGTTTTTGATGTTTCTTTGGTCTCTTTTTTATTTTTATCACGATATTGCTGACCTCTGTTTAACATTGGATGACCTCTTTCTTGTGTTTCGTCTTGGACCCTCCTTTGGTTCCATGAACTAGAGAATAGTTTGGCCCGCCTTGATTGATCTCTACCAGCTACGAGTAGTTTCGTGGATTCCAAGTGATATCATTCTTTCCTTTTCAATTGTTTGGATATCAAAAAATTTTGGCCCTCGAGAAAAGAAAACTTCTCACCACGGCGGCAACCGTGACGGAATTGGGGAGACTGGTGGCGACGGTGACGGAGTTGGGATTTGATAGTTTTGTGGCCGTAGGAATATGTAACTTCAATAATAACTATGGCTAGGTAATCCAATTCTGACACTCAAAGAGCATTAATCCACGTGAAATCCAAACTCACATTTTGATTTCTCTTCTAACTTGAAATATATATGAATTGGAATTCCATATCTTGAGGAACCCAATTCCGCATTGAACAAAAGCTTTAAGCCTTTACAAAACTGCATGAAATATGTTTTGGATTTTGATGTCCGCCGATGGTATTTCCAAGTTCTTTCCTTTCTTTTGGAAGGAGGTTGAATAAAACGAGGTTTTTCTTCGATTCAAACTTTGTTGGCTCTTCGCACTCCAGTTGGCGCTTCTTCAGAATGTTTCTGGCTTGCTTATTCTTGTCGGAAAATTTTGTCCGAAGAGGTCACGGTCACGGTTTGTTGTGTTATGCATAGATATAGATCCATCTTCTCGAACCGTATAAAAGTACATGATATATATATATATATATATATATATATATATATATATATATACTGTGAAGAGTGATGTATTTTCATCCATTTGGCTAGTGTTTCGTGCAATCATGGTTCCTAAAAGATTGATTATGGTTCTGCAGTGAGATGTCGAGCGGACTCGAAAGTGATGACGTGCCCAAGAGTTGCTTGACCGAAGAGGAAATCCAGAGAGTGGTAAGATGAGTCGATATTACATTAGTTTCCGTCATGCAAACTATTTGTCAGTGCCATTTACGTGTCATTTGCTGATTTCAATGATGAGGGATCGAATGATCCATTGCATTTTCATTTGCTGGTCTATTTTTTATCAGATGCAGGACATTAGAACTACCCAAGTACCAAACAGTTCATTTTTCGAAATAGGAGCGATGCCACATTTTATGGCACATTTTTTAGGCTGGTCATGTCGTCTTCATGTTTCTAAAATAATGTTGATAGGGAGACATTCGAATGAAGCAAACTTTTGTTTAGTCAACTGTGAAATTGATGAAATATTGCATCCGATAAATTTCTTGAGGGAGGAGGGGAAATAAATTTACAGATGAGAATGCAACTTCTGTAAAGTGGATTTCCTAGTGTGATAGATCATGCTTGAGAGTGTTCCCATTCTCACTGCTTGTCAATGTAAAACAGGTCAGGGAAGAGCTGAAGCCGGTAAAATCTGACTTGAAAGAGGTCAGGAAAGAACAGAAGCTTTTAAAATCTCACTTGGCTGATCTTGTCCGGAGGTACTAATACTTTTCATTTGGAGGAACAGTAATTGTCTTTGTTTATCGTGGCTACTGTGCTGTGAAATTTTTTCTGGGCACACATTTATGAGTAGATTGGGTTCTTCGGTTCATATATTAGAAGGAAAAAGGCAGAGTTGAAAAGCTAATACATTCGGAAATCTATTCACTTACCACCATAACAGTATTTGAGCTTTTCCGACTAAATGGGGTTTGGTGACCTCACCTTTCCATTCATTTGCATCCTATTTAATTCTCTATACTCTTTAAGATGTTCATTTAGACCTCTGATTATCCTTTTCACCGGCCGCAAAGTCACAAAAATCAATTCCATCCGAAATGCATACAAGCGACATGAATTAGCGGGAATTCTTCCAAATCAGTCTAAAACTTGATTACAGTCATGCACACTTGAAGTGCAAGATCTCGGAGGTTCCACATCATACATTTCGTGAGACTGAAGATGTTTCTGTCTATAACATTGAATACAAGTTAAAAGATGATGTTAGAGCTATAATTATTCACATTCGTGTTTGCAACATAACAACTCCATTGGATTCCAATTGATGTGCAAATTCTCTTCATGCAGTTGCATCTGTAACACTCTCAAAGAGGAAGTTGTGCCAGTGATTTGCTCGTCTCTAGAGGATACTAGTCGGAGAGTGGTAAGATGATTGAATCGTGTAAATTATTGCTTTGTAGAATCCGTACATATTTTTGTAGTTCCCGTTCACCTATTGGCTATGAAGGGATTAGAGTTGCATTACCAACTAGTCAGTTGCCAATGAAAATGCCGCATTATACGGAAAGCTATTGTCATGAATCTTTTGCTTGGACTAATGGCAATGTTGAGAACCAGATTCTAGTATCTGAATGGCATCTTTTAAGAGGTTGTATGTACAATGAATCTTCTCCTAGAAAATGCTCTAGGATGTGCATGCATCATCTTAACCATTTTGAAAACCTTGTGCACATAGATAATGACATGTTTGAAAGAGTGAACTGTATCACTTCGGGTTACCTAAATGTGCTGCTAGGCGTTCGACCTCAAATGTCTATTTGAGCCATGAACATCTAGAGAGAAGGGAAACCTCAATTTTCATCCACTCTCAAAGCGGGTGGTTTACGATGATTAAAAGGGATTCGGGCGCTATATGGCACCGAAGTAACACATGCCATACTGCCTAAATAAGCTCAAATGACCTTTTCGTAAAATGTTACCTATACCTGAAACCGACTGAATTATGTCTGTAGAGAATACCTAGAGGCGCGAGATAACTCTCCGTTGCGATTGTGTAATTGTTCGTTCATTTTTCTTCAATGGACCCAAGGAATTTTGGCAAGAAGTTGTGTTCAACAAGCTGCTTTGTAGAAAAGTATGGAAACGTCATATAAGGATTCCTCCCCACTTCCCCCAAAGAAAAGAAAGTTCTTTGAAGCTTTGTTGTATGTGGTTGCGCATCCTCATTATTGGTGAATTTTCATTAGGTAAGGGAAGAGTTGATGAAGCACGCAAGTTCTCAATCTGCTCAACTTGTAAGGTTAGTGTACACTTTAATTGCTTTGGTGGCATCGATATACGGTTTGATGTTTCTTATCTATCGAGCTGTCATGCTGGTTTCCCTATGACATCTTCACACAAAATACCATACATTTGGATCCCCTAAGCCCCATAACATTGAAAGAATTGTACATGGGTTAGTACACCGGGTTTATGCTTTTATATGGTTAAACATGGATAGAAAATTTCAGAAGGAAATTTATTGCTATTAGTTTTAGGTAAATGATCATGTAGTTGCGCTCATGTAGGGTGCACCATCGCAGCTCTGGTGATGTCAGGCCGAAAGATGGGATGACTGAGGGCTTGAATCCTGTCGCTACCGATCAAACGCTGCTTGCTCGTGGACAAACTTAAGGATTCAAGGCACTGGCCATGGAGACTTCTTATTTATCTTAATAGCATGAGTTTAATGATGTTTAGTGTGTGTTAGAAGCTTTGGGAGTTCCGGGATGAAACAATGATTTCTATTCCTGTTAATCGAATTATGAGCGCTATGGTTTTCGGTATCCTAAATTCTAACGCAATCGGTTTCATGTCTGTTTGTCAGTCTACTTCTACCGCGCCACGGGCTATAAAAGGGATAAATTTGATGACCAAATTGCTGGCGATGACTGGTTTTTACTAGATTGCTGTCCTTGTAGACGATAATCTAGTAACTAAGATAGTAGACTAGCATATAGCAAAACACAAACTGAAAACTTAAGAAATGTATCATGATAGACAATGTTAGCAAAATCATTGGTCAAAAAAGAAAACTAAAATTTCATTCGCTTATTTCATCTAGTCAATAATTTACTAAGAAAGAACGCGACGAGACATAGAGGTGTAGCTTCTTTCAGAGGAGTTCTTGAGCTGGAATTCGAAATTTTCCTTTCCTGATTAAGAAATCAAAGAGACCTCTTTAATTTGAAATAGCACGTTCTTTTTTTTTGCGACAGTTAAAAATATCAAGTTGTTCTTAGTAAAAAGGTTAAGGATGTAGTTTAAAGAAAGTTAGCACGAGTCATGCGTGATTTTCTCTTTTCTCCTCCTTACTCAGATCTTACTACTGCTTGAAAGAGGAAAACGAAAATTCGTGTCGATTATAGCTTATCATGTTTGATCATGAAATCCCAGAGAGTTGCCTCTACAAAATTTTGCAAACTGGGCTAAGTGAATACTGTTATGACAGTTCATAATAGATTAGTTAGTAATGCCCTACTAGTCTCTCTCTCTCGCTCTACCCCATTTCTACGATACACCATCTGTACAATACAACTTTACGAGGTAGAGCAGTAACTAAATATAAAAATGGGGTACACATGGATCGATGATGTTACCGCATTAACTTTCGCCTACCCGTAACACCCTCCCCCCTCCTTTTTTATCTCACTTCTCTCTTTTACATACATGTATGTACGGTACTCATGAGAATCGATCCCCAGACCTAGTAATCTCCGGTCCCACCCGACGCCTGTTTGGCCACGCTCCCAATTCATCCATAGACAAATAACCACATTTTCGACAATTGGGTTCGTGGGCTGATGGTTCCCCCTTCATACGTACATAGCCAAAATGCTCAGAGCAACTTACGTAGAAGCATGAAAAGGCCCAACAATATAGAAGTCACGATGCCCCAACGCAGGCTTGTAGCATGCAAAAAAGCCTAAATTAAGCATTAAGCTGCTCCAAGCATGGCAGCTCTCTTTAGCGCCGGTCATGGTAGCTCGACTTTCCTTGAGTGGTACACCTGCGGTTCGGATCATGACGGCGAAGTTTAACCTACCTTCCTTACGTGATCCTCGAATTTTGAATTTGTAAAATCCAGTTCAAATTTTTATTACAATCAACTACCCTCGGGTCAATCCCAAGTAATTGAATGTAATATGTCGATCGGTGCCAACCAAAAGCACAATATTCAAATAATTAATGTCACTGTAGAATGAAAAGACAATCTAATCGAAAATTTCTTAATTGTATTCTCACGTATTGTTTACGCAACTTGATTCACTCAAAATTATTGTCCACAACTGCGGTGCCGACTTTTTTAACGTCACGTTTTTGGCTACTATTGATGGGTGAATTTTCTAAAAAATCCCAAATTTTAGGTCAAGTTTCAAATCTGCCCCAAATTTTTATTTGTCTAAGAAAAAACCCAAATTTTAGGTCCAATCCCAATTATGTCACAAACTTTTTTTTATTTCAGAAAAAACCCCAAACTTTAAGTTAAGTCCCAAATTTATCCTGAATTTTGTTTTATGTAAAAAAATTAGCAAATTTCAATTTATTGTAAAAAATATACCCCTGTGACCTAGTCCTAACTTGACGTGGCACTTCCACATCGATAACAAATCCATATAAGCAGAGTAAAGAGGCAATAGGTAGATACCGTCATCGCATTTCCACTTCGATAACAAATCAAACCAAATAAAAATTGTTGAAATTCTCCAAAATAAAACCATTCTAGGATATAAAAGTTAGGGATGATAATAAATTCACCCCAAAAAAAAATTTTAATTTAAAAAAAATCTAATTTTTAGGTTCAGTCCAAATTTGCTCTTAACTTTTCTTTGTCTAAAAAAAAGCCCATTACTTTGTTGATGTAGATTTGTTATCGATGTGGAAGTACCACGTCAAGTTGAGACTGGATCACGGGAGTATATTTTTGAAAATAAATTGAATTATGGTGATCCTTTTTACATAAAACAAAATTCGGGGTAGATTTAGGACTTGAATTAAAGTTTGGGGTTTTTTTTTAGGTAAAAAAAAGTTCGGAGCAGATTTGGAACTTTACTTAAAGTTTGAGTTTTTTTAAGGAATTAGGCCTACTATTGATAGACACGAGACCTTTAATTTGCTGGGGTCATAGACTATAGCTTGTCTAAGGAAACTGACAGAGCTGAAAATTTTAGTGTTGAAAATCTTAAATCTTGGAAATTTAGGATACAAAGTTGTTTGATGACAATTCGAAACTGGTAGCTGAATATAATCAATTTCCTACCAAAATATAGAACAATGATCTTTATTTGTAAGTGTTAAGCTTCTAATTACTTTCACTTATTTTTCTATTAAACGAATTAAGTAAGCCATCTCAAATTGGTAATCACCCTTGCCTTAGTATATAGTTTATAACCCAACGTAACCATGGGATTAGTCAGTTTCCACGTTAGGTGTTTTGTCCCCTAATATTAGTCAGTAGTTTATGTGGTAAAAACACAAAATCCTTTACGTATCGTGTTACGTGGATTTTTGACGTAATTGAGTCTTCTAAGTCAACAAATTAAGCTTATCAAATAAGCTTAGCGTTATTAGTTGCTGAATTTTCAATTTTTAGCATTTAATTGGGTCATCAAACATGCCTTAAGAGACTAAAATTTTTTACGAGCTTAAGGATTTGATTGCACAAATTATAAGTTCAAGGCCCATAAAAAACAACAAATAGAGACTGTGAGCTTATTCGATAAAACTGGAAATTAAGGGCTGAAAATTTTAAGTATCGATAGTCTTAAGTGCTAAAAATAGGAATAAAAGGTTTGATAATAGTTGAAAATTGATAGTCTTATGTGATTAAGATGTGATGCTTGTGTTTGTGTTATGTGCTGCATAATTGATACCAAATCTGCATGGTTCGCTGCTATTCCGTAGAAGTGGTGATTGTCACTCTCTACGTCGCGATTTTTTGCTCATTTCTTTTATTATTTTAAGTTTCACAAATAAGAAAACTTAATCGAGTCATTACGAGAGAGATATAGGATGATGATTACTCAAGTAAATGCTATTAAATGAGGTTGTATGAAACTCTCGATTTGATTAATTTACACTGCTCTGAAATTTGCTATTATATTCGCGCGGTAAAAGATTTTATTAAATTAATATTTTCATAAACTCATTAGATTTCTACTAATCAAACAAATATCGAATCTTGAAAAGTCAATCGGAAAAGTAATTTTCAAAACAAAATTTAAAAAAAAGAGGGGAGAGAGACCGGATGCTCACTTGAGAGCCGTGGATTAGGTAACTCAGATCAGGCACCGAGCCGCCGCAACTCCAATTGAGGCCACCAAGGTTGCGCAACCTCAAGCTTCAAAGGTTTGCGTGATGTCGACGCCGAGGCCATGCGACCAAAGGTGGTCCTCACCTAAGGTTGTGAGACCTCGGCCACCCCATGCAGAGGTCGTGCGACCCTAACGGCCCCTCATCGAGGCTGTGCAACCTCTGCTGATGTCACCCTGACATTGCGCAACCCCAGCGAGGGCCGCCGACGCCAAATTTGACTCGTTGGCATCGAATCTAGCTCACCGGCAACGACGCGCGATGTTGGTCATGCATGCATAAGAAAAGTGAAATTGAGGGTAAAAGTGGAAGTAGGATGATTTAGTGAGGCCAAAGTTGCATAAAAAAATTTCATCAATCCTGAAAACAGCATTTCGAAAATGTCAAATAACAATTCTAGGTTGGCGTTTGAATTGGGTTAAGGGCCTTTGCATTTTTGGAAAACGCGTAGGACAAGCTTGGACTCCAAGTATAGCCACGCACGCCAGAAAGCCAAGCTGCCTTGGGCGTTGACGGAAAAGCGAATTGACTTGACCCCGACTTCACTCGCTTGGGAGAGCGAATCCCTAATTAATTTAGGGGTAATCCTACAAAAATTTCAGAACTAATCACTTGATATAAATTTACCTTAATTTAATTTTTTGATCATCAAAAACTCCAAATCGATATACTCGTGACAAATTTACCCCAAACTATTCTTTTGACCACTAAAAATCAAAAACTAATATATTACCCTCCGTTAGTTTCCATATTAATATCACGAAAAATCACTAACTAGTTCATCCGTGATAAACGGAGGATAAAACCCCAAATCGATAAACTTATTAACTGTTACGTGTCATCCAACTCAGCAATTTGACAGAAAAATTTAAAGGAAACTAACGAAGGGTAAAATGCGCATATATTTTCTCAATAAATAACTATATCGCACATTCATAGTTGTTATTATTTATAAGTAGTAGTCTTGTGCGGTTAGAAGCAGTTAATTGAATTTTTTTGTAACTCCCTCATAGCCACACATAGAAGATAACTTATATTTGAGCATGTGACCGATCGATAAGAGATTCAAGCGTAAAGATTTACCTTAAGGTTCCGTTGAAAAGCAAAATGATCGCTTACGAAAACGAATGAACGAAACATATTTTTAGTAATAATAAAAATATATAGATATAGATTATTGTTGGTGATGAAAATATTTTTCATTGTCCGATTATTTCAAGTGAAAATAATAATTATTTTTAAAATTATTTATTTTTCGCGAAATAAAATAGGCTTAAATTCGGGTTGAGGCAAAATTAGCTCAATTATTCATTAGGCAAAAGGCGGAAAGAAGCGACAAAAAGGAAGAAGAAAATCGTACGGTAAGATTCATAAAGGTCGAAGGGGGCAGATTGCTAGAATCTGAGAAAAGAACAAACAGAATTCTAAAACTGCCCACCTTTCCCGGAAATGTGCTTCGCTTTTCTCGGAAAATGACGAGCCTACTCGTTCAGACACTACAGAATAAAACACACTCCAGTGATTACAAACTCATTACTTTGGAGTTTGAGCTTCAGTTCGTGTGTTAACTGTTCATTGTCTCCTTCGTTTTCTCTGCTACATTTGTTCCCGTTTGTTCAGCAACCAAATCCTTCCAAACTCAGCCACTTTCCCAGTTCTTGAAAAGCTCCACAAAAGAAAAAGAAGATCATGTCCACGCAAAAGAGAGCTCTGGCTCCCACTTCTTCAGGTCAAGCAAGTCTGCTCAAGAGGCCCCGCGTCGCTCGAACGAAGTAAGTTCGCTCTTCCCTCTCCACGTTTCGATGCTCGATCGATTATTTGATGATCGTGTTAGTTTTAGCTTTACTTGAGGGATATTCAATGAAGGGTTCTTGAGTTGAAGATTCTTGGAATGAGAAACATGGCAAAGCCTGCGTTGAAGTATAAGATTGATCAGCTTTTGCCTCGGGACAGTTCTGAATCGCTTTCGTGCTGTTTTTCGGTTTGTGGGTTTGTGCTGTGGCTTTAATCGGAAGTATTAAAGACCTCTAATGTTGCCGTCTCGAATCTGTTATGCGATTTCGCGTGGGCCAATTGCAGTATTTTTTCCTTATTTGAATTGGACTCTGTTTGAAACATTTACCTAGCAAGTGTGCTGTTATTGTTACTGGGTTACTTTGCTGTCCTGTTTGCTGAATTATCCTATCTTGGTTGTACTTTTGTGTTGATCTTCACACAGTCAAGTATGGCACCAGTCCGAGAGGAATCACGTGCCGAGGAGCTGGTTGACGGAGGAGGATGTCCGAAGAGTGGTAAGATGAGTACAATAGGCAACTTGGACATACAAAATACAGTCTTTGTTGTACTTCAATTGCTGATCTCTTCGATTAGAAGTGGTTGGATGCATTTCTGACCTTCTGGTCAGCTTCTGCATAGAAATCTGCATGAGAAATTGCTGTGAGATTTATAGAGAATTATAGTTTGAGTGGTAAAAATGATCCCGACTGTTCTTGGCTTTTCCTGTGAAGCAATTCCAATAAGAACATGATTTAGGCTTTTCATGTTGTTTTGGTCGGTATGGATCACAAAAAGATCCAAATTTTTAACAAAGTGGCTTGGGCGTGATTGTTTCCATGAATCATGGAAAATGTGGTCAATGATAATTTGCATGTAGAAGGAGGACAGTGAAAATACTTGTGAGGTAAAACTTGAATGAGATGAATTCTTGACAGATTGCTATGTAATTCTTCGCTATTGCTCTTTGCTGGACAGGTCAGAGAAGAGCTGGAGCGTGCTAAATCTCACTCGGCCGAATATTGTCAAAGGTGAATATATTTCATTTGGTTTGTTGGCTGTAGCTTATCTGCATCAATTAATTCCCTCTAGTAGAATTTCCATGTGTATAGTCTCGCCAACTAAAAATATCATCGATTATCATTAGCCATCAATCCATGATTTTGTTCAGCAAAGTGAAATACCTGTACATACATTTTTTTGTTGATCATTGCAAGGGCCATCATTTGGAGATAGCTGCTAATTAAATTTACTTGCTTCTGCCATCAATGTACTGGATAAATATGTATTCCAGCTTTATGTTGACTTTTCACGTTGCCTTTGATTAAGGGAATGCATTTGATGAGTCTGGTATCTATCTTGTTATGCTGTAATTCGGTCGACATTCATTTGTTTTAGTAACTGAAATTCTACATATGGATATTTGTCTATTTGTTATGAAAATGTCCACAAGACTGCAGTTGCTTACGGCATCTATTTTTCATGGTGTAGTTGTACCGGGAATGCTCTCAAAGATATAGTGTGCTCATTGGAGAATACTGTTCAGAGACTGGTAAGTTAAACTGAGTTTATAAAAGTTTCCACTTTGTCTCAGACATATTTCTATCAACACTTCATATATGAGTTGTTTATCCACATGTCAAGAAGTGATCAAATGAACTTATTGACCTACAAAGTCGGTTGCTATCTAATTGATTTATGCCGACTGTTTGAACAGCAATAATTGAGCATGAACTTTGTACAATTTCTTTTTTTTTTTATAAGTTAACATTCATTTTATTGCACAATCTGTGGAAAAGAAAAATATGGGAGGACTACATCCTATACAAGTCCATTACAGCATAACGTCCCACATGTACAGCTGACATCCAGGTGCCAAACCTTCCCATTCATGTGAACTCTTGGGGTAGATCAGCTTGTTATCCCTAGAGTACCTTTTAGCCATTGAGCAACGACCCTTCCACTCGGTACCATCAGATCACTAAGGCTGACTTTCATCCCTGCATGACGGGCAAAAAGGGAGATCCATTTAAAAAACTCGTTATAAAATGAAAGTCTGATATCTTGAAATTAATTCATCTAGTTGACTTTCAATCTAATGACACCATACACCATATGACAACATGACATCATAGTCTCCCGCTTCTACACTACCAGTAACAATAGCAAAATACTACCCAGAAAAACAAGAAGCAAACTTAAAACCATGCCACCGGGTTACAGCAATGTTAGTCAACATGAACTTACCAGTTTCTACACAAACATTTAAAATTACAGTACCTTCCCAAATTATAGCTTTTAAAGAGACTTTTACAGAGAAAACCAACTGCATCAAGGACACGGCAAGCTTGAGGAGATACATTTCTATGCTTCACTAAGTTCCTCTCTCTCAAGAGATAATAAATTGTTGTATTCCAGGCTAATTTCCTCACCAACAACTCCAAACTATTCCCCTTTATGTTCTGCAAGGCCCAAGTAAATTCATCCTTCCAGTCAATTGCTGAATCTAAGATATGAGAGCAGCCTTAAAACTTGTCCCCAAAATCTGCTTTGAGAATACACACTTAAAGAACAAGGGCATTCCAGATTAATCATGTTTTCTGCATAGCACAAGTGCTATCAATGTCAGACCAAGTTTTAATCCTCTCCAACGTGCGCAACCTATTATGAATTGCTAACCAAGATATAAAGCCATATGTTGGCACATTAGGCTTAAACTAAAAGCCTAAGCCAAGTCAATTTGTTCCCACATATCCTCACTAGCTTCCAAGCCTCCTTTACAGAGAAAGAGCCCCTAGATGATCTGGTAAATACCACTTTCTCTACATAGCGAGAGTTTGGAGCAATTAATCCACAGAAAGCCATCTGAGTTTCAAGCAAATCATCAGACCTTGCTGGAGGCCATCTCCATTCATTTGCCTGCAACTGTGGTTTTATCACCTAAAGCTGAATCATAACCATTCTAAAACACAGGTAAATTTTTGTGTGGACATGGAAAAAAAGGGGAAAATGAAAATGCGCCAGATTGTTCATTTGAGCTATATAGACAACTGCTGTTTGGTAAACACTGTGATTTCATATGTGGCTGAAGAACTTAGCTAGTTCAATAAGTTGTTTTTAAGAAGGAACAACAGAATAGGTATTTCAACTCCCTTTGATGGAATGAATTGGTTTTGGATCCCTTCCGCTTCATTTTTTTGATGTCTCCAACTTCAGAAATTCTGCTGTTGGTGGTATTAAACAGGAGGAAGCAGTGGAGCCTGCAAATAGTCACTCTCCCCACCTCAGAAGGTATGAATCCACTTCCCCCGTGATGCCACTGAGAAAGGCTTTTTGTGTAGTATTGACCGGTTATGCATTGTTGGTATTTTGGAGGAATAACTGTCCGACTTACCACTATGACCCAACAGCAAGCACTCAGAGCTCAGTGAGGTCAGGCCACAATGACTCAGTTGTGTGCCAAAGTGTCAATGCTCCAATTTAGAACACAATTTTTGTAGCTTGAGAGCTGTAGACAATTTTGTTTAGTTTTTAAAAAATTTGCATTATTAAACTCTCTCAGACAATGGATCTATTTGTCCTTGTAGTTTCCCCGGCAGTAAGACTTGCCCAAGTGAGATGTTTGGTAGTTAGACTCTCTTTATCGTTACTTTTCCAATTTTCGCCTCCATATCTATTCCTATTTCTAATGTTTTTTTTTTCTGGTGAGAATGCAGGGATAATGCTAAATCTATGGCAAAGAGTGATGCGAGAAACTTACAGCTTCAACTTCGAACCAAACTGTCACTTCCTATATATACTGGAAAGAAACTAGAAGGAAAGTGGGGTGCTTGCATTTCTGTCGCCTTGATTGATGCTAATACAGGATATATTGTTACATCAGGCCCAGAATCCTCCATTAAGCTGGACGTCGTTGTGCTTGAAGGTGACTTTAAAAAAGATGATGAGGATAACTGGGCTCAAAAAGAGTTTGAGAACTACGTGGTTAAGGAACGTGAAGGAAAGAGGCCGCTATTGGCTGGAAATCTCCTGGTGACACTCAAGGGAGGTGTTGGGGTGCTGGGAGAGCTAATATTTACTGACAATTCCAGCTGGAATAGGAGTAAAATGTTCAGGATAGGGCTTAAGGTGGCATCAGGTTATTGTGGGAGTACCCGAATCCGAGAAGCAAAAACTGATGCCTTCACTGTCAAGGAACATAGAGGAGAATGTAGGTCTTTCGTAGTCTTTTTACAGCATATAAACCTTTTCCTTTATGACGGACCATAGACATGGTTTTGGACATCCACAATCATCAATGTCCTCATTGAGAGCTTCATTCATATGGACCTTTGCATCTCTAATGAAAATTCAGATAAATAAGAGATGGTCCATTTCTTTGTTATTAGCAAATGTTTGGATTAGTGCACGCCTATCAGAAGTTTGCTTCTGCTCATTGAGCTTATGGTGACTGTGACCTTACTGTATATGTTCTCTTCATTTTACAGCATACAAGAAAAATTATCCACCTAAATCTGATGATGAGGTCTGGAGGTTAGAGAAGATTGCCAAAGATGGGAAAATTCACAAAAAACTGAGTGAAGCCAGCATACATAAAGTGGAGGACTTTCTACTGCAACTGTTTACGGACTCCGACAAATTGAGAGAGGTAAGCACTTAGTTAATGATTATTAATTATGATTTGATTGACTACCATAAACGTAAGTCTTGTGTGTTCACTTACCATAGATTCTTGGAAAGAGCATAATACAGAAGAACTGGGATAGCCTCGTTCGTCATGCAAGGACTTGCAAAATAAGTTGGAAACTTTATTTGTACTATCTTGATAGCATGAGGAAGCATGGTGCTCTATTTGACGCGGATGGTCAACTAATCGGCCTAATCAAAGACAGGGTATATGTTGCTACTCATCGACTTTCTGCCCTAGAGAAGGTAAGTAACTAGTTCCTACTGAGTTTGTCAATCCAGTTCATGCACTACACACCATCATGCTGAATTCATATAATTGTCCAATATTATCTATGTAATCAGTAATTTGATGTTTACCCGTATCTGTGAGGTTTATTAGGTGGTAGAATCGGCCAGAGATATGGAAATTTGAAAGGAGTTCGTTGGACATCTATATGCTTTGTTGTTTTTTTTATCAGTAAAAGTAATATGAAGTCCTTGAGGAGGGACTAAAAGGAAAATATAGATGCTTTCTTTAGATCCATAATAGAGACTTCTTATTAGAGTGATTTTGAGCTTTTGCTCTTTGCTATGCAAAGTTGAGGATGGTGACCTGTAAATCTAAGTGGCCCTCTGTACCCCTGTAGTTAAAATTATACCAAGAAAACATGTAAGTTGGAGAGCGCTTTCAGCAGTTGATATGGTGTCATCCATGACAATCTGAGGCACTCATCATCAAATTGTACTTAGAACGATTAACACATTCACGTTGCAACTATTACTTTCCAAGTTTAAAATTATGATGATCTTAATTACTTGCACAACACAAGTTGCTGCCTTTTTTATTTCTTCACTGGTCCTCTCTCGATCTTTGCATCTTTTACTGTGAGGAGCCTTGCCTTGATTGTACTCTCCATGACATCTTTCTAGCATCTGACCTTTATGTGGTGGAGAAATCGGTGGTGATAGGCATAAAATGAATTGAGGTTCTTTCAATGGTTTCTTTGTTCTCTCTGTGCTGCCCTTGTGTACTTACTTTGAATACAAGTTCATCCATGGGAATTTAATTACTTTCCAAAAAAAGAACTTGAAGTTAGAGCGTGTACCTTCAATACCGTTCGTCCAACTTGAGCGATATACCAAGTAATTTTCTTTCAGGAACATGGAGATACAATCATCAAAAAGGCCCTTGATAACTTGAATGATGTTAGGGAGTTCAATGGTGAGAAATTTTCTGGTTCAATGCAAATTGAAAATCTCGCCCCTGTTCGACATAATCTGGCTCCACAAATCTGTGCCACTCCAGGTGGTCCGGAAGCTCCTCTTGCAAATGTGGGCTTGACTGCTGAAGGTACATGCTCTAAAAGCACAAAATATCTCTCCCTCTAAGCATATACCAATATGCGTCCTGTGAAATAATGATGAAAAGTAGGACTCTCCACTTGATTGTGGACCTTTAATAAAGACATGAATACGTTTCGGATCCTTATGATTTGGGTTCCACATAATATGAAGACATTTATCTGTCCATCTACCCTTCAATTGAACTTGCATCCAAGGAGATTTTACTAAATTTGATTCGTCTTTGGCAATGACACATAAGTTATAGGTAGAGGATTCCCATTTGCAAGTTAGGCTTCAGTGTGTCTCTAGATGCAACAAAAAATGCGCAGAAATAGTTTTACTGATGACGAACAAACAAGAGGAGTAGGTTATTGCAGGTCACTACCAAAAGCAGTGAACTAATAGACTATCAGTACAAAGGCACAAGGCCAATAATCAAGTACTTCATTTTATCAGGGTTCAATTTAAGAGACGCAACAATTATTTGGATATGAAAGATTTAAGAGTTAAAGTACCAAGATGACCTATAAGGATATGCAATGTGCAGAACAGTCAATAGCCGATGCTAATTGTACACGAAAAGAAATATTCTGCAAGCTGTGATTGTTGCAAAATAGGGACTCATTCAATACACCAGGTATGCATGGGTTCTGTCCAAGGAATTGAAAAGCAACTATATAATTAGTTGGTAATATGTGCCTTTTGGAGTGGGGGATTGGGGGATGGGGAGGGTAGATACTCACGAACATCTGCACTTAGGTGATGCTAAGTGGATAATGACGAGATATTGCTATCACTAGGTAGATATGGATGGATGTAATAAGCCCGTGGCAATGTATTCATATCGTTTTAGTCAAATGGTGACTGGAAGATCATATTAGAAAAGAAGGTTGATTGGTTGAACTTATATGTCAGAAACTGAGATATAAAATGTTCAATCCGTGAAGGGAAAGGGCCTTGCCAATTGAAGCACTTAAAGATCACAAAGACCAGTGGCAAGAAAAATTAAAGAGATGTCCAGGGTGAGGAGAAAAAGTTAATAGCACTTTCCGTGATATCTGAATAATAAAAGCTCATGACGGTTTATTCCAAAATTTTATGCAAGGACGTAGACCTGTGCTCACCTCGGCCTATGTTTAGTAATTACACTAATGTTCTAGTTCTTTCTCCAGGACATAGTGGTGCAACTGCTTCGGCATTGTCAATACAGTCACAAAGCTCCAATTTTGGAAATGCCATGGAGCTTTCAGTTGATGAAAGTGTTCATCTCACTGCACATCGGCCCATATCTGTAGACGGCTTGAATGTTCCAATTTCTCCAGCAGATAAATGTATTACTACTGTCAGATTGCCAATTCATTCCCATAATAACAATTTACAAAATGCCATGCATAGCCCAATGATCGATTCTTCAAGCCAAATGGACCGTGCAGTAAATGAGCTTGTTCTCCCCTCTGAACCAGCCTATGCTTCATCATCAAGTTTCCCATCTAGTAGTACACTTTCTCCTCCTGAAGGCAATCGCGTGAAGGAAGATTTCCAATCTAGCGCTTCAGATGATCAATGGGATTACTTGTTGACGCTCATTCAGACCCCACAACATGATGAAACATCCTTTCAGACCCCACCCTCCGATGATGGTTCAGTGCGAGGTACCAGCAAAGGTGTTAATGGCTGGCTAAAGATAAAGGAATTTATGCAGTGGGGTTTCTTCATCACGAAGAGACGTGTCAGCATTGTGCAGTTAGACGAACCACCGATTGAAGTCCAGGCTTGATCTCATCATTCTTAGTGTCGCATTAGGTAAGATGATTCTCCATCTCCTGTCTGATAGAAGTGATAGAATTCTTTTTTTTTTTATGAGGGCATATCAGTTACTTACATGTATTCGGTTATTCATTTGTAAATAGAACAGCTTTGTTTGGACACCTTCTTAAGCGAATAAATACTTTTCCATTAGAAAGTGTCTCTCTACTTCAGTTCCTTTTAACATCTTTCTTCAAAAGTTCTCTGAGATTCTGCACTTATTATGCATCGGGATTGTGACCACGTCCATCGAGTCCTATGCATTGAGTCTTGCCTATTGCCGCTATCCACAGGCATTAGAGCTAATTTTCGGAACACATGCCTTGTTAAATTATTATGCCAATTTCCCTCGATAATCTCCATTCATTCAGACTGTTAGTTTACTAACATGATGAGTTACTAATGATAATTAGTTATATTATTACTGAAAAGCAGCAGACGTAAATTTTTACAAGACTATACAACGGCTTTGAAAGGTGTTTTTGTGTGACGGACACAAATCGTCTTCTGTCCATGTCCTATCAACAGTAAAGCTTTCTCTCCATTCTCTAGTAGTACTCGTTTTCCTGGCCTGGTGTGCCATTCCACAGTTCCTTTATTTCCTAAAACTATGTACAGCTTGCTTTCGAGTATCACCATCTTCCAGACTACCCAAAATAAACCCAAAAAAGAGAAGTGTTTTCCTTCCTCTGTACCGGGACCAATCATCCTTTGCATGCAGTCTTTGAAATGAACCTCTGATGGCAATACAAGAAAACTGGGCTTCCTATTCCTCACTTGCGCGCCACACGGAGTATTCTCTTTTTTCCTGTATGCAACATCTACTTGAGATTACTTCAGTCAAAACAGATTAAAGAAAATTTCGCATGAGTCAGATTTGACCTCTGAAACTAGTCATCATTTTTTTCTGGCCAAATGAAAGTTCATTTGTCATGGTCAGCATTTCCGGTATCTAATCTGATGCTGTAATAAAAGTGGTGCTCAATTTGGAGACCATTGTAGTGACATGTGGCCTTCTCCAACGTCAACTCCTACGCAGTTTGTTTATTTTTTGTCATTTCTTCCTCTTTTCAGGACGTCGATTGTAACTCTCTCTCTCTCTCGTACGCGCTGTGGAACCATAAGGAGTTCGAGATGAATCAAATTGTAAGATCGAGAGTATAAATGGCAGTTAATCCGGCGGCGCATTTCGATGGGCATAGGTCATGGAGTTGTCAGTCAGATTTCAAGAAACATTTTACTAGGGTCGGTGTCATATTTTACGACCAAAGTTTGGGGATTATATGTAACAAAGATTGGTTTGTGACAGTCGCAAGTTTAACCAACTAGATTGATAAAGAGATCAGTAAAAGCAAGGACTACAATTTATATCGATTGCCTGGTGAAGCAAACTTGAGTTTTTTCGGTCTTGTATACAGGAAATATGGCCATAATACCCGCAAGTGCGAGATGGGAAGTGTCATTCTTTGATAAACCATTAAAAACATAAAAAAAAAATTACAATAAGTTTAGAAAAAACATACCATGGAAAGAGATACTTAGCATAAAGGAAGATTCTACTAGGCAAAAATTGGAACATTGCAACTTCTATAACGCAATAGTACATAAATTATTGAGAGAAAGTAGTAGCGAAGTTCTGCGGTGCCCCTATGGTAACTTTTTTCCATATTGGACATGTTTACAGTTATGAGGTACACCTATTGTATAGTACAACTTTACAACGTAGAGTCATAGCTAAGTATAGAAACATTTCTGCAGACAAATCTATGATGTTACGACGCTTCGCCCACAATCAAATTTGAATTATCCCATTGTATGGTCAATGAAGGAGCCGGAAATTTGGCTTACGAGGTGCAAGATTTGTAGCACGTTTGAGAAGGACTTTTTAATCCCAAGTTTTGGTAACAATTGTATCAAGTAATAACAACTTAATTAATTGATTAGGTGAAAAAACCGAGATATTCATGAAAATATAATATCCAATCAAAATGCGACAAAATAATAAGACTGTTTATTTAAAATAATAAGAATGTACGCGTGGAAAAATGAAAAACTTGAACTTAGAATTAAATAAAAGAAGCATTGATTTACAAAAAAAAAAATGTAGAATGTTGTAAGAGTTTACCATGGGACGACTCAATTATATCTTCGACGGCTAAATTGATCAAACTTCTTCATAGTATTTAAAATAGCACTGATGCTCCCTTGAGCGCCAGTCATGCTAGCTCAACCTTCGTGGAGTGGTACGACTATGGATCATGACAGTTAAGCTTAGCCTACCTTCCTTATGTGATTCTTGAATTTTAAATTTGTGAAATTTGGTTCAAGATTGTCGCCAATTTCAAAATAATCGAATGTAATTTGTCGATTGGTGCTGACCAAAAACCACGATATTTGAGTATTTAATGCCACCGTAGAATAAGAATCTATACCACAGTAAATAAAAGCTACTGACAATTTTCTTAATTGTGTCTTCAATTATGTTTCCACAACTTGGTTCTCTCAAATTGATTATCAGATGCCGTGCCGACTATTTCAGCATCATCTCTTTTGCTCCTACCGATAGACACCAGACCTTTATTTTGGTGACAATTAGAAAGTGAAAGCTGAGCATAATCAAAATTCTCACCAAGATATATACGGATAGAAAGTCAACCCACATTGGAGTTCGCCCTCCCCTTAGCATAGTTCATAATTGAACGCAGTTCTCGGATTACTCGATACCCGCGTTAGGTGTTTTGACCCATAGTATCTGTTAGTAGTTTATGTGGTAAAAAAAATCCCTTACTTATCATATTAGGTGATTTTTCACTTATTAGTGTCTTTTAACCCAACCGAAATTGAGCTTATCAAACAAGCTTGAATATTCAATTTTTAGCGCTTAATTGGGTCGTCAAATAGGCCTTAAGAGACTTTATTAGAAAATTGTTGCGATTGTACAAATTATAAGTTCAAGACCATATGAAAAAGCAACAGATGGAGATTATGAAACTGTGTGATGAAATTGAAAATTAAGTGCTGAAAATTTTAAGGTGTCGATTATGTTCAGTCCCAAAAATAGGAATAAAAGGTTTGCTGATAATTGAAAATCGATAGTAAAATATTATGAATCCTTAACAAGTACAGAAAAATGACAAGATAATTACCATGACCAATTCGGCTTTAAAATTTTCAATTTGATCAATTCAGCTCTGAACCTTTCAATTTGACCAATTTAGTCAATGTAGTACTTTCGACCAAAATTGGTCAGAAATCGATAACGTCTATATCGGCTCTCCTACGTGGCATAGCCAGCATGATATGGACAATTTGTACAATTTCTTTTAAATTCTTTTGTGCCACGTAAGATACCCGACATCAGCATCATCGATTACTAGCCAAAATTGGTCAGAAATAGTGCATTGGCAAATATTCAAAGGTTTATGACTAAATCGATCATTGTACGGTAGGTTTACTACTTTTTTTTGGTAGTTTTCCCAAAAAAAAATAACTATTATCAATAGGTTTCATCACAAATATTTGGCAAGATTTTGGATTACCAATAATTATTTTTAATTTGAACGAATTAAGTAACTCCTCTTTTACTTGATAGATAAATTGGATTTTTGGCTAAATGTAATGATGTAAGTCAATTTTATTTAAAGTTGGCAAATTTAATCTCATTAAACCTGTGAGATTTCATAGGACCACTGTGAATTATTCTAAACGCTTAAGCTGTTCATAGTTTAATATTTAATTATTCTAACACTCTTTCTCAAACAAATGGGGCCTGGAAAGATTTGAACTCAGGATTTCCAGTTCTGATACCGTATGAGACATTGCGGGACAATTGCCAACTGTTATAATAGCTTAAACTCTTAGATGAATGTGTGATTTAATGTTTAATCATTCTAACAAAACCGTCAAGTTTTTTTAAGTTTTCGACACTTAATTTGGTTATCAAATGAGCCCAGTACATTTATCTTTGAAATCCCCTACAAGTCCGACCATCCGCCGGTCCATGCTGGTCTGAGAATTCGTAACTCGACCCGGTCAGATCCCAGAGGCCCATTTCCCGGTTCGACCAAAGCAATTTTTGCGGTAGAAGTAGTAGTAGACCAGTAGACACCGGGCAAAACAATGTCTAAAATCTCCACAGCATGCTGGTCTTTTGCTCGTCGCACGTCTGGCGAGGGCGTGATATCGTCCGAGCCTGGAAATTCCAAGAATCGGAAGCAGGAAATTCCAGGAAAATTAACAGGATTACCTTATTTTCCTGGAAAATTACCCGTGTCCCTCACGCCACTGTCTATATGTCGTGCTCCTCTCTCTCTCTCTCTGTCTCTCTCTGCGTGACACGCACGTGCGCGTACACACGACGACAACAAGAAGCAGCCAAACTTGCGAGGAGACTCGAGTAGGTGAGAGAGACTAATTTTTTTTATTTTTTTGCAGCAGTAGTAGTAGACTGGTAGTTACTGGCAGCCGAACACGCTCGTTTTTTTGGCTTGTCGCACGTCCAACGAGGCGTGAAGCATTTTCCAGGAAAATTACCCAGGAGACCTGATTTCCCCGGAAAATTACCCGTGTCAGTCACGCCGCCGTCTAGATGTCGTTCTCCTCTCTCTCTCTCTCTCTCCGTAACCCACACATGCGCGTACACACGACGACAACGACGACAACCAGTCACAAACTTGCGAGGAGACTCGAGCCTGTGCGAGACAAAGTTCGACCGCCACGACGAGACGAAAGAGAGCGACGGATGGATGCTTCTTCCGCCGAACAAAGTCAATTCGAGAGGATATATTAATTTTTGTGACGTTGCACCGCGTGATCGAAAATGTGATTGTTGCGCTAGTGCTACGTGCTGCAAGATTGATACGATTCCCGTGTCGTTCACGATTTTTGGGCTCATCCATTTTGTTACGGTTTTTGAGTTTTGCGCGCGAGGAATCTTGGTCGAGTCGCGTGGTGAGCCATACAGGATGCGACTCCCCATCTTAGATTACTCGAGTGAAGGCTGTTATAAATGGGATCTTACGGGAAGTCCCCTTTCGATCGGTTTGCAATGGCACTACAAAATTTTGTCATCGTATTGAAATCTTGAAATTGTCAAC